CAGGGGCTCAACTTCGCCTGAATAATTCTTGATAAAACGTCTATAGAAGTTTGCGAAGCCCAAAAACTGCTGTAACTCTTTGACTGTAGTGGGATCTTTCCAGGTTACTACTACTCTAATCTTTTCAGGGTCCATACTAAGCCCCTCTGTTGAAATCACTAGGCCCAGGTACTTGGTCTTTTTGGTGTAAAATTCTGATTTATTAATGTCAATTTGTAGACCAGCTTCACCAAGCCGACGAATTATTTCACCAACGTGTTTTGTATGTTCTTCTCGGGTCCTTGAATATATCAAGACATCATCAAGATACGCGGTACAGTAGTCATCAAGAGCATCATGAAGGATATGATTGATATAATTTTGAAAGGTGGCAGGGGCATTACACAAACCAAATGGTGTGACAAGCATTTCGTAAAGTCCAAAACGAGAAGTAAATGCAGTCATCCACTCGTGGCCCTCTGCAATTCGAACACGATTGAAAGCGGCAATTACATCAAGCTTAGTAAAGAATTCAGCTGCAGATATAGAATCTAATGTTTCCCGAATCAAAGGAAGCGGATACCGGTTTTTCACAGTGACTAAATTGAGATCACGTTAATCTTGGCAGATGCGCACTCCACCACTAGGTTTGGGTACAAGTAGAAGGGGAGCAGCAGCTGGGGAAGCTGATTCGCGTATGAATCCCTTTTCTAACATCTCGTCAATTCATTTTTTGATGCAACGAAGTTCGCCAGGAGAGAATGGCCTATTTTTATAGAATGGGGTTGTTTTCCTGGTAGAAGTTCGATTTTATGATCCCATGGACGATGCGGAGGTAGAATTTTAGCATTTTTTGGAAAAAAATGTTCCATATATTGATGTAATTCTGGAGGTAGAAGACCTTTAATCTCGGTTACCGAAGGTTCATGCTTTTCTTGAAGAAATCTATCCACATCAACTTGATCTACTTTTCTTTGTAAGAGATGCGTAGAACTTTCCATATCATTGTCAGGGATAGTTTCGATTTCATGATTGGGACAATCTTCCACAGTGGCTTGGTATAATCTTGGTGCAATTGGAGAGGGGACAGTCTGGATTTTTAGCGGGGCTTCAAGTAGTCCAGGGGGGTTTGGGAGCTGGCCAAATCCGGGTGGTGAGATTGCCCATGGGAGACATTGACGTTGACAGAATTGTGAGCCAAAATTTACTGTCATAGCATTCCAATCACAAAGGGGATTGTGAAGCTGAAGCCATGGCATACCTAAGATTATCGGATTGCACGCACCCAGACTTGTTACATAGAGCACAATTATTTCTGAGTGCAGGCCTAAGTGCAAGCGAATAGTGAAATAATCGGTAACAGTAGCCTGGGTACTCCCATCAGCTAGGCGAACGCAGCGGGGGTTGACAAGTTTCTTGGTTGAGATCTTGAAGCGCTTTACGACTAACTCAGCATCCGCAAATGCAAAGGCTGTGCAGTCGCTGTCAATTAAACTGGATGTGTGGAACATTGAAGAGTCACTAGTGCGCGGGTCTGAGAGTTGAGTTTCAAGCAGCATTGAATTTTTAGAGCTAGTAGAGCATAGTTCTAAAGGTGAGTTATCTAACAACACCGCTCGGATTGATTCATCCTCTTCACCATACCAATCGTTCCTCTGATCGCGACTTAGATCAGAGGTTTGCCTTTTAACTGATCTGGTTTTCCAGATGTTTTTCGGCCTCCAACAGGGGTTTCATGGTCAGAACTAGTATCAGATACATATCCAGGATTTTCTACTATGGCACGCAAACGAGATTGCGCTGGTTGCTGAGAGAGTTGCTGCGGCATTAGTTGTGGGTATATGGGGGGATAGTATGACATGGGCATCTGTGTATGCGACGGTAAAAACTGATGATTTACAAAAGGGACACGTGAATTACTGCTCTGAGGTCGAGAGTTTGAGCGATTCTCCGTGTCTTGAAGATTTTTCCTGTTGTGAACTAATGTATAATTGGCACGTTTCGGCATCGGAATCGGGTTAAACTTTCGATGGTGGTCTCGGGCAATATGGCCACTCTGACCACAGGCTAGACAAAGACCTTGGCTGCGCCGGCGCTGTCTTTCACTATCAGAAATCTGCAATCGGCTAATATCCATAGGGTCATCGTGGGGATTGGAACCGAAAGCAGCATTTGAAATATCTGATGTGAATTCGGCAGGTTCATTGGACTTTTCTTTCGTATTTAAACCGCGAGAGTGATTGAGAGAATCATAGTGAGACTCTTGGAGCTGATTTCGCGCGATGTTGTCGCATCTTATTACCCATTTGTCAAAATCTTCATCGCTTGGATTGTCTACCTGAGACCGGAGTATCCTCTTGATGTCGGCACCAATGAATCGTCGCCATCTGTCAACTTTTTCCCGAGGACCTAGTTTGGCACGGGTAGAAAGTCTGATAAATTCGGCTTTCCATTCACCGTATGGTCGAGTACCATTTCTCGGGCTGTCTTGAAAATAACTGTCCAATGTATTCCTTGCAAGTGTTGCCGAATTAAAAAGAATATATCGACCATCAAGGTCAGTCCAAAGCGCATCCTCATTCTGCCATTGCCATTGCGAGGAGTCACTTAAACTAGCAGTGATAGACTTATGACCGTCACAAACTGCATCCCAAGCATGGCCATCCATTAAGCCACATATATATAAAATCTTAGATGCCTCTGTGGGGAAACATGCAGAGTCAACAGAAATTATTCCTTGCACTTGTGTCTTGAATGTCTCGTATTTTTCCTGGCGCTGGACAGGGTTCTTCTCGTTGTTCGATGCTGTGAACTTGTCTGGGTCTTTTTGAGTTCTACGAGCAGTTGGAACTTTAGCATTTATGCCTTCTCCTATTGCGTGGTTCTGGGCATTTTGAATCAAGGCAAATTGGAGCTGGGTTTCTGCAGCAAGTTTCTTTCCCAGTGAATCTGATAACTCGACACGTGTACTTGTGAGTGTAGCTCTGTCTGCTTCGAGTTGAGCGCGAAGAACATCTTTTTCGTTTTCTGCAGCTAAACGAGCATTACGTGCCTTTGCATTCCGCGAACGCTCTTCATTGTACGCCATCTCATTATCACTTGCTTTGAGGCTAAGCTTCTCAAATCCATGTTCGAATGCAAGGAGCATGGCGAAAATGGCCTTTGCATTTTCATCCAGATTAGGATTCGGGAGTACGTTCAAAATTTCCGCTAATTTTGAGGGAGAAAAGGGCCTATACACAAGAGTGTGAGTAAAGTCGTATTCAGAGAGAACTCCAGATAGATTTGGGAAGCAGGAAGTAAAAGATTCACTGATTCTCTGTCCGAGTTCATTGTTTGTAGTAGTCATTCTGGAGATCTGCGGCTGGATTTTTATAAAATAAGAGGCAAAAAGCAAAAAATGAACTTATAAATTTTTTGGTCTGAGGATGGATTTAAAGGACTTATCAGGGTTGTGCTGAAAGGAACTTTCTTAAATCTATTCACCGGGTCGCGAATCAGGCGGGTTGCTGGATATATAAATTCGCTGTGTAACAATTAAAGCGAAAATTTTCAGGCTGGTATTTGAGACTGGGTGTTAATAAAAAGATCGCACAAAATGTCACAGGGCAGGTTTACAAAGTGCGTGGTAAAGTATAATATTTGAGTTGTGCGATGAGAAGAGGAAAGACTATCTAGCTACACGAAGGCCTATAGAGGCTCAGTTATCGCTTAACCTTAAACGACGCCAACTACCATCTTACTACTGTGACAATATGGGAGCAGGACAATGGATAATCTTGGGGAAGTTATGCTCACAGTAGGTCTCTATAGTCGCTGTTGCGTGTGTTCTCGTGATATGTAAGACTTGACTCTATATTCTCGTATAAAGGAAACTTAGTTACAAATGAATGGACGGAGGTTGAGACCTCCTTATATCTTGCTCCAGACTTACTGTGTTGTTCACAGCCTAGTGCTAGAACATTCCCTTATGATATCATTTCTCTCCTATGAGAAATGATCAGCTCGTTCTCTCTCAGTCTATCAGTCTCCCGCTGATTCCATTATCTCTATTCCATCGAGTTCTAGTTTGGTCCAGTATACCCACACATGCATTACACACTAAACACCCCAAGGTTTAGTTCCACAGTCACGTGCATATGCTATGACGCGACCTAAAGCATGTACCATGGTAAGCTACATGGGTAACACAACAAAGCTCTTTCGTACTAAAACTGAACAGCCCCCGCGGATCATTTGATTTATAGATGTCATTAAACATTTCGGAGTTTTATCGACTTTGAAGTTATTGTCGATATTTTATATGTATGTCTGTTATCACAGACATTGGAAATAATTCATGAGATTGCTTAATGAGAGGCTAGTATTGATTCCGATATAATATTGTAGAAGACTTGTCCCAACTATCAGAGGGCTACAACGCCTTTATCTATCTACAGGTAAATTCCCCATATTCCAACCACGCTAGCCATACAGGACGTAGCATATAAAACTTGATTTGTATCATCAGTTTAGGGCTGAGGTTTACTGTGCATATGCTACTCGAGTCGCATGTCTGACTACTATGCGGCATGCTTAGGTATCAATCTAACAACCCACACCAAAACCGAAACTACTCATAATCCTGATGATGACCCCATGAATAATTGGAACAGTAGCCTGCAACATAGCACAATTAGGCTAGACATTGTTGACCAGGACCTAATCCGAACAGAGTTCATATCAACGTATGAAAAGGGCCTACAAATATTATGGCGGATTGGTTGTCAAGACCCCCATCAACAACAAATGAACTCACTCATGCTGGCAACGAATTTCAATCTTCCCTGGACACAGCAAAGCCCGTCAAAAACATTGATCATCTGAATCGTGTAGATCTCCAAGCTATATTTGAATATTTTATTCTGAAAAGTAAACTGCCTCATAGTTTATCAGAAGAATGGATAAAGAGCAATTTTATAGTCCATAATGATACTTTGTATTATCTGCGTAAACGTCCAGACAAAGTTGGTTCACAAATAATGCTTAAGGTACCTGAGATCGAAGACCTAATCATCGAAGCAAGGAAAATACACGAGCAGCTTGGTGTCACAGTTCGAGGTATAGATGCTGGGGCGATCAAATATACGAAGGTTGTTTATTATTTTCTATACCACAATATGTGTGTCCTAACTCAACTATTTATACACTTATTAGGCTATCTAGAATATTCCTTCCTGTCTGATACTAGCCTCTGTTATGTTTCCCTGATACCAGTTCACAGTCTCAACGCCAGTTGCTAGAATCCTCTTGTCATGTTCAGAATAAACTAGAGTGAAGTTTCGCCCTTTCACAGAATTGTTGAGGCACGTGATCAACATCACGTGATACAGGACAATTATCGGCTCACTAGCCGTTACACTTGGACATGCATCAATGGGAATGACAATACGAGAATTGAGCGAAGTTTACTGGCATCCGGAGTTTATCCTTGCGGCACATGAAGCTACACGCACCTGCAAACACTGCCAATTAACGAAGCCTCCAGATAAGACCTTACCAAATCTCATACCAATTACTCCGGCTAAACCTTTCACCAGATTGGAAATTGATTTCACAGGTCCGATATTTGGCTCCTTGCTCCTGAACGCAATTGAATACTCAACTGGCTGGCTAGTTAGCATATGGACAAAGGGACTTAAGTTTGAAGATACAATCCCCCTTTGTACGTTTGCCAAGAATCAATTCTGCGCGCCTATGGAGATAATATCTGACAATGCTGGAGCATTTCAAAGCGCAGAAGCAGTGGCATGGCATAAATCTAACGGCACGAAGATTCACTCATCCACGCCAAATCGACCACGAGGTAATGGGAAAATAAAATCGATAATAATCAAGCTAGCAATAGATCAACCAGGCAGACCGATTCAAGAATACCTAGACAAAGCTGTATATCTCTACAACCAACAAAAGCCCCCCAATGGCTATTCTCCTTACTACCTAACCTACGGCACTTTAACCAGAGACGATCCTACTAGACCTTACCATTCCCCTTATCAACGAGAACCTACACCACAGGAGGAATCACAATGGACAGAAGAATTAGTACAGTCGCACGTAGCACCTATGGCTAGGTTGTACGCGTCCTCAATGAAGGCAGCAAGAGATGAAACAAGGGCATATCTACAAGAGAAAAAGGCTTTGTTTCGTACATATTATTGGAATATTATCGTATAATTGATGATACTAGAATGATATGAATAATGATCCCGATAATATTCGATTGCTTGCTTGCTTATTATTGTTGTTACTGTTGTGCTGGCTTGGTTAAGTTGTTAGGAGACAGGGGAACGGAGGATGGGCTGCCGGATTAGGGAAGGGTGGAAAATATAGGCTGGTGCACAGACGCTGTTCATTTACTCTACAATCTCTTCACCTGCCGAGATTAGTGAATTAATCTATCAAAATAATATCATACTTCACATCATCCATTAGATGATATTATCAATTGTTGGAATGCGCAACTAGCATCACCTTTATAGATCACCATCTGATACGCACTCAGTGTCCATCGTGCCATCACCCAGCGTGAGCGCGCCATCTCCGCGACGCACCATTGCACATGAGCCCGTGTAATTCCACCGACAGACAGCAGAGACATAATTGCAATATATCTCACAGCTCATAACCACAAGAGTTACTTCTATCTGAACATAAAGATATTGCTATATCATATACCAGTCTGTTGTGCTAGCCTTTATCACACATGACTACGCCAGTACTACTTGATCGTAAACTGAGACTCATTGACCCATTCACATCTCCCGTTGCCTACGTATCACTAGACCCTAGGTTCACAACTATGACACAATGCTAAGTATATATGATACTCCTTGGCTGCGACTTCATGACCCGGATGCTTCACCCAAGCACATATGACTCTGCCTCAAACTCGTCATGCGTGGTGGTTTGGCGCCCCTGCCAAGGTATCTATTATAGACCTTATATCCGTCGTAAATAGACATTTACAAGTCATGCTCACGATATTCACGACACATATGGTACTGGTAATTGGGTACTGCGAGTCTGTCAACATGGTTATAAAACAGAGCCATATTAAGACGGTCCTTGGTGTGTATCAGCGTGTTGCTGCAAGGGTTGTAAGACAGATGTTATTCACGAACTATCTAGATCTGGGTCCAAAAGAGAATCTTAAACTGGAGAGGAAAAATACCCGGAGGAACTCACTATATAATAAATCTAGCTTTATTCGACTTTAGTTATCTAAATATTCAGACTTATAGTGAATATGGTCTGTTTGTCGATTATGTTGTGGCTGCAATTGCAGTTGGATGTAAATAATGTAAAGGTCTTTATCAAGTATCTTTAATATATATATTTATTATGGAAATACCCTCTCGTGAAGTCTACTCTAGTATGTACATGTAAATGCCTTCTTTTATAGATATTCCCAAAGTCAAATATAGAGCACCTATATCCCCTGAGATATATGTTCGATACAGAGTTGTGACAAGCTTTATGCTAAGATCACGAGTTATTAAAATGAAGTTAATGAGTTGAGGAAACAAGATGTGGAGTGTGCTCCTTGCCAAACTGGTCGGCTTCTCCGATACCGACCCTAGCCTAGCTCCTCTTCCTTTCCAAGTCCGAACCGGAGTGTGTGTGGGTCCTACTATTCAGCATGTAGTGTATCAGGGTCCTCTCCCTTATTCTTCAGCCCTATATTATATCATTCCTTCTACATTCAGATAGCTTAGGCTTATGCCTAAATTTTACTAGGCTCTAGCCTATGACACTCGCCATGGGAATACTTGTATATTAAGATCTCCCGGCGGCATCGAGCTAAAGAACACCTACAATGGCGATAGCTTGTTCCCAGCCTATACAAAAGATGGCCATCCAGTCCGAAGCTTATGGTATGCATCGCCTCGAGAACTGAATAGAGATCGACAGCGACTAGCAGATGCAGTCGGAGGACTCGGAGCCTAACGAGGAGAGTGACACATAGTATGAATTTTGATAGCCTGGCGTTTTGTTTCATGATGTTAAAGATGGCAATTGATATTTAAAGCGATTCTCAGATTTTACTTAATTTTCTTGTTTGTCTTATTCATCTACCTCACATATATAGATTACCCATTGTCATGTTCTAAATGATGGCTAGTGGACTAGCATCTAGAGAAGGAGGCTGATGTTTGTCCCATGTCCCGTGACTTAGGGTTGTCCACATTCTTGGACATAACACTTATAGCTTGAGAAAGGAAGAGATAAGAAACAATATCTACTTCATTAAAAGTCTTACTTCTAGTAACAATTGTAAGCAGTAGTTATGTGACTCATTTTATGTTAGATACAAGAATTGAAGCCACACTATTGTCCAGGTAGGCTTGACCGGGGTCATCCTCGCCTAGTTCTCTTTTTGTAGCTGCTCTGGCTGCTTTTGTATCGTTTTTTCCCATGATATTTCTGCCATGATTCTGGCAGCTTGGTCGGCAGGGGAGGTTAGAAAAGACTGTTCCTGGTCTCGACAACATGAATTGAGCTGATACAGCTCGGAGGTAGACTTTTATGGAGCCTATAAATTGAACACTGGGTCCTTTGGATAGAGGTACGAGTGCATTCTCCACACCGTTGATGGCAGCGGTGCATATTGTGAGGTTAAATGCGGTCTGGGCCGCTCTCAAGGAGCAGTGTTATTAGTATTCCGTAGGGTAAGAATTTGGTACAAGTAGGTTACAGGTGTGGAGTATGGTGGTGATTCCTAAGAGTAGGAGGTATAAATTCAGCGTTAGGTATAGGGTTCACGTAAGAAGTAAAGGTAAAATAAGTAGTAGGTGAGAAGGGTACAATAACGGCGGTCTTCTTTAGAGAAGAGATAAGTAAGTGAACAATAGGCATGAGTATAAACAGAAGACGTTGCGTGAAGAAGAATACTCCTTCACGCTGGGTATATATGTACATCAGATAATAGGACAGCCCTAAGCTCTGTCTCGAACAGTATTACTACGCATTCCCTATGAAACTACCCTATGTTCCTGAGCCTGTCCTAATTGTTTGAGAACTTGATCTAACCCCGAGTTGTGTTTTAGAATGGAACTCCCCATGAGACACCATCCTAGTTTCCGCCACGTTTATCCATGAAAGCCGCCCACTGTTCTTCGGCTTCAAGTGTGGCTCGAAGCTCGCGAGGACAAGTCGCAGTGTTCTTGGAGCTACTATCGCTGCAAGAAGATTGATTGTTTCCACTTGCCCCCGGAACAGTATTCTTAGGTGTTGTGGTGGGTGTGACGGGCTGTGCCCGGATTGGGACTGGTCACTAGGACCACCTCGGCTATATATTTAAGTGTCAACAAAGCAGCGCTTAAAGATACGCGAAAGGTCGCATAAGGATTAATGCAAGGTTGCCCATAAGAACGAGTCTCAGTATTGCATAAGGATAATTGCAAGGTTGCGCATGAGGAAGGACCCAAGGGAGTGCGTACCAAGGGGGGGAGGATGTCACAGGAAAGAGGGTAGCCGGGGAGAATGGAGTATTCTCAGGTAGGCTAGGAGGGGAGCTTAAACGCGACGCTGAAGAGGACATAAAGGACATAAAGGACAGAAGCTGTCGTAGGCGAATTAGTTTCCCAAGGAAAAACTATCAATTCCTATTGAGTCAACGTCTTTCAAGTACTTCTGAATTCTTTAAACCTTTCACAGTGGGCGCAACTTTGTCGGCTTTTTTTTAAGCTAGCATTAGCTATCCGCTTTATGGCCTGCGCAGCAATCTTCCTTGTGTTTACATTGACGGGGGCCTCTAAGACCTGACCGTCTTTGGGTTTATTGTGTTGAAATTGGCGCTATTTGGCAATGAAGAGGCGCATTAATACGGGACGTAATAAGGTTCTGTTATTACTAGCCACATTCATGACGACTCATACATTGACCAGCCTCCCAATTGTTTAGCATAAACAAGTGAATCGTGTCCTTCACTTAGATGTAGTAATTAGTTTAAATAGCGCTCTGATACTAAGTGGGTTTAATCAACAACTCTCCACTATAGTTTTCAGACTCTTCAATCTCCCAACTCGCTTCACTAGGTGATATTAAATACAAGCCTAACAGCTTAAGCTTCTCTATACAACTTCCATCACAACACATTGATATTCCATTGTGAGCTCTCAAGCCCCTCCATGATATATCGCTCCATAACTGCATCACCCATTTCAACATCGGGGTTTGTGGAGTTAGAGTCTTCTTCGAAGGCTCTTAACCTTTCGGTCATGTCCAGTTCCATCTTCCG